TCCCCCTTTTCCAGCAGGTGCCTTACCTCCCTTGGGCTGGGCCAGTTGGTGGTCGGCCTGCTCCGTCTCTGCCACTTGCCAGCTACGCCTTGGCTGGCGCAGGGGGCGGAACCACGCATGCATGGCGCTCCCGGGCAGGGAAGGTCCTCGACTTATGACCGGTTGGGTAGTCCTCGACTTACGACCGGTTTATTCCTCGACTTATGACCGGTTTAGTCCTCGACTTACGACCAGTTGGGGTCATGGCATTAAAAAGGTTGAGAACCACTGATCTATCCAGGGATTTTTTTCTCATAGAATGCCCAGAATGGAGTTCCGGCACCTTTTTTGGATGGAACCTCATAGGGTAAGCAAGGCGGGTTGTATGATGTGTGTGAGTTCCGGCACCTTTTTTTTTTTTTAGAAAAAAAGCACTGTATCTATCTATCTATCTATCTGTCTGTCTGTCTGTCTGTCTGTCTGTCTGTCTGTCTGTCTGTCTGTCTGTCTATCTATCTCTATCTCTATATCTATATCATGGACCAGTATAAAACAGAAAAAAATACACTCATTTCAATAACACTGAAACTTGCAAGAGATAAAAGAAACTAAAAGTTAGCATTGCTAACACAATAGTATAATATTAAAACACTAAATTATGTGTAGAAAAATTATTTACCAATACTGCAATCTCAAGGGGGGCTCTGAAGACCAGAAAAGGGTGTAAAAACAGATAAATAATAAAAACAAAACAGGAATTCCAAGTAAGTTCAGTCATTTTCAGTAGCCCTAATTATGTTTTTGAATTTTTATTGGTACCAGACAAAATCTAGCAATATTGTTTGTCATAAATGGTTTCTTATATGAGACAGAATCAAGAAGAAAACTTTTGTTATGACCTATAACACATGCCAATACAGAAAGTGTAAGTTTTTCAACCTCACTGGCAACAGGGGAATATAAAAGTATGTGTGTGATGGTCTCCACAGTATTTCTGCTACATGGACAGGTTCTCATGCAAAATAGCAATAGCAATAGCACTTAGACTTATATACTGCTTCACAGTGCTTTACAGCTCTCTCTAAGCAGTTGCTTAGAGTCAGCATCTTGCCCCCAACAATCTGGGTCTTCATTTTACCGACCTTGGAAGGATGGAAGGCTGAGTCAACCTTCCAATAAAGAAAGAAGAAAGAAAAAACGCAAGCTGATTCTTAGAAAGGCAAGGGAGGCTAAAGTCATTAAGTATCTGCCTGGTTCCTTTCTGGAAGAAGCCATGTGAGCTCTAATTGGGTTGGAAATGTGGGAGGAGAGAGATGCTAATGATAATGCTCACACACAGCTAGACGCACCCAAGAACCAACACCATTCCGGAAGTGGTGCCATAGAAAATCTGTGAAACATTACAAAAACTCAGACAAGCCATCCATAACAAGTGTCGGGGCATGCTGACTTCCAGTGTGGTGTTGGTTCACGATAATGCTCGCCCGCACACCGCTAGACGCACCCAAGAACTTTTGAAGCAGTTCCGTTAGGATGTTTTTGATCACCCTCCTGTAGCCCAGATTTGGCACCGAGCGACCACTACTAAGGAATTTCAAACCTTGTATGACGTTATGACAAGTGCCTCAATTTGAATGGCGATTATGTTGAAAAGTAATGTAATGTTGCAGTTTTCTAAAGTGTATAATAAAAGTTCTGTATCTGCGAGTGTCTGTCATTGATAACCAAGCGGAGGTTTATTTCTGAATTGCCCTCATAGTTTACCATCAGATCTTTCAGTGATAATCGTAATATTTATGCTAGTTACTATAGGTAGCTGAATACACCATTGATCACAAATGCCAATAAACTTCATTTTTTCTGGTTGGACATTTAATTCCAAGGAGAAATTTAATGTGAAATTTAATGTAATTGGGTCTTTTTAGTGCGAAAAAAATTATTTTGGAACACCTTAACACAGTTTGGTCCTTTAAGACCAATTTTCCTTAAGCTTCCCCTGCCTTTTCCAAGCCTATGTCCACTGGCCCTTCTTCCATGATAGGCTGGGAAAGCTCTGTTTGAAACTTTCTTTCTATATACTCACTAGCAATTTCATCATGTTCCCCATTTTGATCCTGTTCTTCCTGGTGGCCTCTTAGTTGTCCTTATTATCTTCTTCCATTTCCCTGGGTTGAGAGCTAGAAACTGCCTTCAACTCACCAGCCACCTCACTTAGAATCTTTTGGCCCAGTTACTACGGAGATCGTTGCCAGAAACTCCATGCCATTGTCAAGTTGCTCCTTAGCACTTAATTCAGGACTGAAGAAATAGTAGCCCTTCAGACATGCTGGGCCAGGGTCCACCAGGCCATTGGTCAAAGATGAGCAGGACTGCAATCCAATAAATTCTAGACAACTGAAGATCTCCAATCTGGCAGGGAAAAAAAATCAGAATACTTGGGTCAAATCTCTTAATCTCTGCAAAAAACATTTCACTAAATGCATTCTAGTCTTGCTTTAGCCATGAAAGCTGGCTTGGTGACTTTGGGCCATTCATTCTTTCAATCCAACTCATCCCACAGAGTTGTAGTTGTGGGGAAATTAGGAGGAGGAAGGTATGTTGGATATGTCACCACCTAGGGTTATTTGTAAAAATAATAAAGGCGGGATACAAATAAATGTAAAAATAATAAATAACAACTGTATTTGGCATGCAGGTACAAAGGGGGGGGGGAAAGACTTGAATAACAATACCATGCCCACCATCTTGCAGAATTTGACCTTGCTTGTGGGTGCCCTTTTCAAAAGTAATTTCAGTTACTAATACCACCTTCATCTATGTCAAGATATTTAAATTTATAACTGGAACAGTGGGGGTTGTGTAAGTCAGAACACACAGTTATAGCTGATTGATTAAAGAGAGTTGGCTACTGCGTGAAGCAATCTAAGCTGTGATTGATTGCTATGAGTGAAAAGGGGGAGTTTCCTTGTTTCCTGCCTTTTTTGCTGTGTGCTCAGTGTGCTCTGTGATTTACCTGATGTTCCTGCTGTATTGATTTACCTGACTATGCTCCTGTTTGCCTCTCTTATTTACTGTAAATATATTTATATAAAACCACAAGTTCTTGTCAACATCTCTGACTCCATTTGGACACCGGCTGCACAATTACCTGACAATCTATATCCTCAACTTCATTAAAAAATGTTTATAAGCATTTCACAAGTCTCCATATTTCTTTCTGGACTGAATCAATTCATTAGCTGCTTCAGCCATTGAAGCAACTCTAGGCAAAGTGCATGAATAAAAGAACAAATTAAAATAGGCTAAACCTAGCCAACAGAAGGCAATATAAGTCACATAAAATTGGGGAAATAACATTACAGGTAGTCCTCAGGTTATCATTCAGAAACTGTTCAGTTATGATGGCACTGAATGGATGTGTTCTGTTACAATTGGTTCTTGAGTTCTGGCTATCAGTGTCCCCATGGTCATATGATCATGATCCTGGTCCTCAGTGTCAAGCTTGCAATTATGAGGGTTGGAGTGACCTTCTGAGTCACATAATCACAATATCTGAGATTCCCTGCCAGCTTCTCACAAGCAAGCCAATCGGCAATTCAGTTTTCTTCCAGGACAGACCACAAATAAATGTATTTAACACTAAATAGCAGTAAGCAATTACTTACTTATAATAGGAGCAAAAAAAATGCAATTTTCAATTCTATTTAAATGCATTTTTAATAAAACCTGAGGGGAAAAGGTTAATGCAGAAAATCATTGAAAGCTAAAATCAAATGTGGCAGTATTAGAGTTAAAGACATAATAGATAGGGGGAAAATGTATATGGTGCTGTCAGCCCTTCAAGGTAGACCAGACTAGAAAATCAAAGTTATCAATACCAATGTTACAGTATGGTCCTTATAAGGTTACAATAAAAGAATCTTGCAAGTCTGAATGTGCTTCCCCTTTCTTTCTCAGAATGCAGAGGGTCTCATCTTACATGCTTTCTCATATTATAGTTTTGCCCCCAACTCAAATTTGCTATTTGATTGTTGTCTTTCTTGCAGCTCTTCCTCCTGTTCCTCAAGGTTATTCCTCCCGCCCATCAGAGGTGCTCCCCCCTTCTATCAGTGCCTAAGCAAGTGCTTATTTTTCCTAATGGTTAATCCACAACTGCCACAATACTTCTTGTCTCCATTTGCTGCCCTCTGATCCAGAGCTAGCCGGGAATAAGTCCGTTGAACTCAATGTCTCAGGGTCTTAAAAGTCCCTGCAGTTTTCTCACCAAAATTTCAAAAGTGGTTTTGCCCCTTGCATTCTTCCTGGGGCTGAGAGCCCAAGGTCATCCAGCTGGCTTCATGCCTAAGGCAGGAGAAGAACTCATCAAATTCCGCTTTCTAGCCTGATGCTTTAACTTTAACCACTACACCAAAGCGGCTCTCTGTCTCTAAGGCCAAGCATATTGTGTCCTCATTTTGGGTGTCGCTTATCTGTGCTGAGATGCGAAAGCCTAGCAGTAACCACCCAAAATGGGCAAGATGAGAAGCACAGAAGTAACCATCCCTAGATAGGAAACCCCACTTAAAAAGCCAGGAAGAGAGCCTACACACTCGCAGTGTTTCTCAACCTTGACAATTTTAAGGCATGTGGACTTCAACTCCCAGAATTCCACCGCCAGCAATGCTGGCTGTGGAATTCTGGGAGTTGAAGTCCACATGCCTTAAAATTGTCAAGGTTGAGAAACACTGCTACACAGGAACACATGCAACTTGTGGAGGAGCGGAGCGATTTGAAACAGAACTGAAGCGAAGGGCAAAGCAAGCTCGCTCGCTGCTTCCCACCGATACTCGGCTGAGAATCCCTCCGCGGAAAACTCCGGCTGGAAGCAGCGCCCTTTCATACCGGCGGCTGCTCCCTCGGCCAGGCAGCGGGCGGCGCTGGAATCCGGGGCCACAGAGCTGCGTAGGATGACGTCGCGTCGTGCAAGGGAGGAGTTCTCGCTTTCGGTCGCGCTTGGGCCAGGCTCGCTTGCGAAGAAACGAAAGCGAAAGCTAAGCGAAAGCTTCCTTTAGAGGGGGCAAAATGGCCGTAGCCATGACTAGCTGGGTTACTCCGCTGTTTGTTCAGGTCTTCCCTCCCAACATCTTCGCAGAGAAACTGGAGGCTAAGTTGGCCATCCATTTCCAGTCCCCGAAGAAATCCGGCGGCGGCGAATGCAACGTGAGAGTGAAAGACCACGAACGGGGCATCTATTCCGTGCAGTTCCGGTCGGAAGAAGGTATCCTGCGGAGCGAGAAGAGGGCGATCAGGCGGGATTCGGGGTTTTAGTGGGATTTTTTGACCTATTGTGGCTATCCCGATAAATTTCACGGTAGTTTGGGAAGGGCACACTCTGTTAGGACTTTTTTAAAAACAAGATACTGCAAATAGCAAATGGTGGCGCAGTGGTTAGAATGCAATACTGCAGGCTGTTATTTGCCTGGTATTGATTGTTGTGACACACGTTAATTTGTGATTAAAATAATCCACACTATAGGCTAGCCAGAACATGCTGAGATATAATAAGTTTCTAGTTAAACCACGATGTAGAAGTGTGCTGCACGTTCAGAGCCAAAATAGCAAAAGCATTCGAAGGCATAGAAAGAGCAAACCCGGTTTTAAATTGTGTGATTGTTTCCAGTACAGAACAGTTCTGATCCAGTTCAGTGATCTTCTGAGACATCTGCCTGCAGCTGGAGCAAATGTACTTGGCTTACATTGGAGTTGGGGTTAGGGTTAGGGTTAGAGATTGCAGCTCCCCAAATTCCCATGAAAAAGCTTTTGTCGGGGGAAATGATGATTTTTTTGCATTATTATGGAGTGGATGATCTTAATAATCAGCCGCCTTTTGGTATGATACAGACTAGTGTTTGAGAAAGGCCTTTTACAAAATGTTTTGATATGAGAGAAACGTCCCTTGAGGCTTTAACCCAGCCACATCCTCTGGAAATGGCAGCACGGCTGCTTCAAAGGCTTTCTCTCCAGGAATTTGTACAGGTGTGTTCGTGCATTGTGTTTCACGTGTTGGTAGCCCCAACTGAGAGGTTGTCTGGTTCTGAACAGACACAGGCAGACAACTGGGATGACCTTCAAAGCAACCACACTAGCTTTGCAAAGGACATGGTTGCTAGGAGGAATTATTTACATGAGCCAATGAGTGTTGCAAACTCATACTTTCATATGTTTTCCAGAGGCTACAGACTAGGGAACTTCTTTCTCCCTTATAAGAAATCACTGACCTAGCCATATTTCTCAACTGTGGCAACTTCCAGAGATTTGGATGTCAACTCTCAGACTTCTCAAAAACAGCCCTCCTGCCTGAGGAACGTTTGGAAGCCACATCTCTGGAAGCTGCTAAGTTTGGGAAGCATTGAGGTAAGGGAAAAATATGGAGGTCTCAAACAGTAAAAAGCATTTGAAGGAGGTTGTAAATGTTGATTGCCAATCAAGCCTAAGCTATCTTATGTCTCTCCCTTTCCTTCTTCTCCTTCTCCTTCTTTCAATAATGGAAACAAATTGTATTAGGAAATTCTAAGATTCTTGGATTAGACTGATACTTATAATGTGGTAGGAACCACAAAAGCTTTTGGTTGCTTTTATGTGATGTTGCCTTATGAGTAACCCACAAATTTCAACGTTCATTTATTATTTAGGGGAAAACTTGCCTGCATTTTCATGCTGGGCATGGAGAATGGGAACACTAACTTCCCAATGACTAGTAATAAATCCATCTTCCAAGTGCATTTATGGTGGAGAAGTTGGAATAATCAGCTGCTTTCCAAATACATGGACTTCCCAAATTCCTAGCCAGCATGGTTACTGCTGAGAATTCTATGTCTTGAAGTGGAGAATCTTCAGCTCAGGGAAGGTTGTAGAGATCTATTTATCTTCTGCCTCCATGACCATTTCCTGCCATGGTCATAGAGGCAGGAATTTATTCCTTGGGGATGGAGAGAACAATCGTCTCTTTATTAGTCTCTCATAAAATTTCAAAAATGGGCTTATAGGAGATTCCAGGCTGCCAAACCAAATTGTTTTATACACGATTCCATTACCAAGGTAAGTTGAGTTTCATCTTAAATGGGTTTTTAAACCTGTCCTCAGTATGAATGATGTAGGACATTGTTTCAATATTTCTGGAGCCTGGGAAGCAGTATGTGTTAGACATGCAAGTTAGATTTCTATAAACTGCAATATTTCTATAAATTGTGTATCTCTGTGATTGAGTTGATACAATATGCTAATACTAACCAATTTATTATTGTTTATTTCTAAGCCTTCCTCAAAGAGCGGCTTTGTGTGATGTGTGCACTCTTATTATGGTGTGATAACTAAAAATATAAGCGAGACAAATATGTATTTGAATATTCTTTTTTTTCCTTAACGTGCAACAGCAAAGAAGAGTGTGAAAGCCCATCATGGACATACTATAGAAGTTGGGGGAATAACTCTGGAGATAAGAATTTTGACAGATTCGGAGTTGGCTGTGATTGATGCTGCAGAAACAGATTTTACAAACAGCGTGATAGGCTCAGTTTCACCTTCACTTTCTTCAAACTTTTTGCCTCTTCAGAATGATTTTAAAAACAAGCAAGAGAAAATCTATGCAGCTGGTCATGAAAGTGCTAGAAAAAAGGTAAGCCTCTATGTCTGCTCAGTTTAGAATGCTTATGTTAGCTGCCAACTATCTCCACGTTATTGGTGACCATAGAAAATCCTGAATCTTCAATGTTGTGAGACATTCTATTTTCTATAAATTAATTTTATATAATAATGGCATCCTACCAATTAGCAAATTCAAGCCATAGAATTGTTATTTGTTATATATTGTTATTTGGTATTACTGGGGGTGTGCGGGTACGTGCATTTGCACATCTATGTATTTATACATGTTGATAGAAGAAAATACAGATGAACAAAACAAGTTTAATTCAAAATACCAAAAAGTTTTTTAAGCTTTTTGTTTAAAATAGTTTTTATAAAAACTATTAAGTTTCTGACTTCCTTCTCTTTATGTATCTGCTAATTTGCAATATTTATAGGCATTTATGCCTCTTTAAAAGCCAAAGTGTAGGAGACTATATTTGCCATGCTGGAAAACCTTTTTATTAGAAACTTCTTCTCCAAGGAATGGGCTGCTATCAGAAAATGACTCAAGTGGGAAGGTGCTATCTTACTATGAAATTCTTCACTGTAGAAAATGAAGCTTTCTGTTAAATCTGGTATATCATTTTTATTGTACTGGCTCACATTTCTTGTGTGCTCCCCCTTTCTGTTTATTTTTAGATATTTCTTGAGGTTTCTGCCACCTTGAATACTGACTTGCTCACTAAACAGCAGAGAAATCAGGTGACCGATGTATGTCCTACCTTAAAAATAGAGAGAGCATCAAGTCGTCTTGGTGTTGAAAAGGTGGTGGGACCCTATGAGGATATTGAAAAGTTACACTGTCATTTTGAGAAGCTCCTTAAAGACCACCGTGGCAGTGAATTTTGGCCACCTAAAAAGCAGGACAATTGTGATGAAGCAAAGGAAGACCACAACAGAAGATACGGGAGTGATTTAGAAGAACTGGCCAAAATGGAAGTTCCTTCAGGTATCTTTGAATATTTTAGACAAGCCTACAAGGAAGAAATTAAAAAAATTGAGGAGACATTCAGTGTAAAATTAGTAATAGGCAACACTGGGAATGGAATCACTTCTGTCTGGTTTGCTTCAATGAGGGCACAAAACTTTGCTAAGAAAGCTCAGGAGGATTTTGTCTTGCTTTTCCAGAAAGTAGCGGGAAATCTAAAACAGGAAACAGTTCCTTTCACTGATAGCCATGCGTGTGAGATGATAGAAAGAAAATGCAAACACATTATTATTAAAAAATACAAGGACACGGCTGTTCTTCAAGGCCCCACAAAGGAAGTTTCAGATGCAAAGGCATTGTTAAATGAAATGACAGCAAAGAACTGGAATAAAAAAAATGATCCCCACATACAGCTATCTAGCTTTGAAGTTGACTCTACAGTATTTGCATTTCTCAAACCAAGATTAAGTCAAGACATTGAAGTAATAAACCAGACGTATTGTACTAGAATGGAGATGAGGCATTGTCACGAAGGTCAGTTAACATGCATCACTTTTATGCCCCAGCCATATGCATCGTCAGATCAGTCTTCACCTGCTGCTGAGTATTTTCAGTATGTATACCTGATGTATTCACAAAATCCACAAATAAAAGAAATTCCCTTGAAACTTCTGGAAGATCAGAAAAGGAAACTGAAGGATTTATTTAGCTATTTCCAACATGAACATCCCAAAATAGAACTGGCTCTAAATAAAAACAACCTGGTAATTTATGGTCTTCCTGAAAACATATTGTCTGCTGAGAAGCAGATCATGAAGTCCCTGAATAGTGAGGAATTTGTAGCTGCAAATAGTAAAGCAGCAGCCATTCCTGATTCCAGTCTTGGGGCTGCTACAGGCGCATACTTTCAGCCGCAGAGTCATCACAAAATGCAGCTGGTTCCTTCTCAAGAGCAGCCAGTAGGGAAGGCAACGGAAGTCCAACCAGATGAATGCTGTGCCATCTGCCTGAACACAATCCACCAGAAAGAAGTGCTACCCAAATGCAAGCACGCATTTTGTGCATCCTGCATAAGAACGGCAATGAAATATAAACCAGTCTGCCCTGTGTGCAATGTAGTCTATGGGGATATAAAAGGAAATCAGCTCCCAGAGTCTCTGAATAGTGAGGAATTCATAGCTGCAAATAGTAAAGCAGCAGCCATTCCTGATTCCAGTCTTGGGGCTGCTACAGGCGCATACTTTCAGCCGCAGAGTCATCACAAAATGCAGCTGGTTCCTTCCCGGGAGCAGCCAGTAGGGAAGGCAACGGAAGTCCAACCAGATGAATCCTGTCCCATCTGCCTGAACACAATCCACCAGAAAGAAGTGCTACCCAAATGCAAGCACGCATTTTGTGCATCCTGCATAAGAACGGCAATGAAATATAAACCAGTCTGCCCTGTGTGCAATGTAGTCTATGGGGATATAAAAGGAAATCAGCCCGCAGGAAAAATGGACATCGTCAAAACTAGAATTTCCCTCCCTGGTCATCAGGACTCTGGCACCATCACTATTACTTACCATATACCCGATGGTATTCAGACAGTAAGTTTAACAATATGATGTTTCTGTGCCATAATTAATCACCCTCTTGAATTTGTTGTTTTTTTAAAAAAAATATTTACATTCCAAGGAAATAGTGTAATAGCAATTCAGTTGGGAGTGCGAAAGCAAGAGATCTAGAAATCTTTAGAAATCTTCTAAACATCTATGCGGAGGCTAGAGCGGAGTTCATATCGACCTGCCATTATGTCCCTTCAGAGTTGAAGATGCACCAGAAGTGATGGTGCATCCATTGCCGAATATTTTGAACCATGATTATCATAGAAAAGGTAACACAAGTGGTTGATGGGGCTTAATCTCTCTCCCTATGTTGGTTTCCCAATTCAGATTGCCCACTCCTTTCCTTGTCCATTCACTCCATTTCCCCTAATTTTCTGCCTTTTGTACCAAAGATCTTTCTTTTTTATGGGAAAGCTGTCTTTAGTCTTGGATAGGAGTAAAAGTCTTATCTGCAACCACCTTACCATATTTGCTTGAAATGGCAAAGTCTATGTGAAGCAGATATTTTATTGGGTTCTGCTAGAGCAGTGACGGCGAACCTTTTAGAGACCGAGTGCCCAAACTGCAACCCAAAACCCACTTATGCATCGTCGGGTGCCGGGTGGGTGTGGCCCATTGGGTGGGTGTGGCCCATTGGGTGGGCGTGGCTACGGTGGTAATGGCAGACTGGGTGGGACTAAAAAGTTCAATCAATCAATTCTAACTTTGCAAGATCTTTTTTTCCACCGCAAGAAGTTGAAATTGACTGATTGATTGAACCTTTTTTTTTTTTGCAGACGGCGGCAGAGGCCTAAAGTGAAAAGGTTTTATAAAACCCAGCTGAAGGCCTAGGACTGGGGCGATGGCGCATGTGCCCACAGAGAAGGCTCTGAGTGCCACCTCTGGTACCCGTGCCATAGGTTCGCCACCACTGTGCTAGGGGCTGGTTTTCTATTTTTTGGCAGGCAAGCTTCTTGTTTATTTTGAATTAAAATAAACTTTACAGAAATAAAATCAGGAGCCTGATGAGAATACTAAGAGGTATTTTGCTGGCACTGGTATTCTTGGTGTGGTGCCGTGTTGGGGATACAGATTTATTTGTAGAAAACATCAGTATATGGTGGCGCAGTGGTTAGAATCCAATATTGTAGGCTAACTGCCCACAGCCTAGAGTTTGATCTTGACTGGCTCAAGGTTGATTCAGCCTTACTTCATTCCAAGTTCGATAAAATGAGGACCCAGATTGTTGGGGGCAGTATGCTGACCGCTCAGAGAATGCTGTAAAGCAGAGGTCCCCACCCTTTTGGACACCAGAAACTGGTTACGTGGAGAGAGGTTTTTCCAGACCGGAGGGGATGTGGTTTCGTGTGCTGCCTGCATCCTGCGGATGGGGCTTTCCTTGTTTGTGAGGACCGCTTGCTGGCATGCCACAGCCCAGTACCGGTCCACAGATTGGGGATTGGGGACCCCTGCTGTAAAGCACTATGGGCAGTATATAAGTCTAAGTGCTATTGCTATTTTCATAAGAAATCTTTGGAAGATTTATAGAAATCTCCAATGGATTAGAACCTATGTGATGTTGAAAACTAGGGCTGGTCACAAGAACTATAGAAATAAGTAAATAAAACCAAGAGCTTAATAAAGGTAGGGTTGGACACCATTATGTTCTTTTGTCACATCTTAAATTCCTCAGTGGAAGCTTCCTGACCATCCAAAAAGTTCTGAGCATGATCAGTTGGTACAAAAAGCGGGGGGGGGGGAGTTGAAATGGAATATCTACAATGGAATGAAAGGAAGGAAGTGCATTTTTATCTGCAGTAAAGGGACAATCTGCTTGAGATTGAAACTAAGAAAAAGTGATCTATCGGTTCATGTCATACTTGAGGGACCTTCCCAGAAACGTGGCTGACCCATTGTTGGGAGTCAGATTCTGATTAAGTGGACTATAGCTGAGAATGTCCTGTTTTGTAGCTTGGTAAGTATGGCTATATAGCTGGATCTGAAGCAGAAAAGGCACTTTGGAACAGAGTGTTGGTGGTAGCATGTTGCGCATCTTGGTTCCTTCTTAAAGCATTTGTGCCTTTTCCTAAGACAGTGATGGCGAACTATTTGGGCTCATAGTGTCAAAACTTTGGAAAATTCCAAACTTGACTCTGTTGGTATGACACCTCCTCCCACCCCCGGAACAAAATTCAAATTCAAATTCAAATTCAAATTTAATTTATATACCGCCCTTCTCCCATAGGACTCAGGGCGGTTCACAGCATATTTAAAAAACAAATACTATACACAAATAGCACTTGGGAACAATGCTGAGATTGGGTCTGAAGTAGAGGCTTGGACCTCAGCTTCAGTCCTCGTGCCACTGCTGGTACTCAAAAAAGTCACCTCGCATTGTTCTCCAAAGTACGTGAGTCTTGGGGAATGGTGTAATAGCCCCTAGCCCTGCATACACAGCCCGGATCTGCTATGCACTGCTTACCTTCAGGCAGTGATCTCTTTCTATTGAGAGGACCCTATGGAGTACCTGATCACACAACACCCTTAAAGTGGCTTCAGAGAATGGTCTTCCATGGCCTCTGCAGCCTCAGTGGAAGCTTTCTCTCTTCTCATCTAATTTTGGGAGGCTCAGAGGCCATACAAGAACATGGTCTTCTTGCATGACCTTCACAGCCTTCAAGAATCACATGAGAACAGGGCACGTTTTTGAGAATTATGATACCTTGGTACTCATTGTTAATTGGTTCCTGCAGGCTCGATGAGTACCAAACAGATTTTTCCCATAAGGAATAATGTAGTGAGTCACAAAGCAGCCGACACCAACAAGTTCATTGAATACTAAACAAACAATGAGTACCAGAACAAAATTTTGACACAGTTGAATACCAAGGTACCACTGTAGTTGTTGTCGGGGTGTTGGTAAATGCTGGCATATTCCCCCAAGATGTCATGGGATGTCATCTTTGACATGTATGTCAGATTCATCATCACTGTCCTGGGTTCACAGAAAGCTTGCAGCTCCAGGAAAATAATGTGTTCAATTTAAGGAGGGGATGACAGCATGCATCAAGGTTATTGTGCCTTGCTGGTGGTGCCTCCTTAACAGTTTCTGTAACTCAAGCACAGGGTTTCCCAGGGCTGTACTTCTACCCTGTCAGTGTCAGGAAGAGGCATCACTTTTTTAAGAGTGTGCTGACAGTGCAGCAAATATGTCCCTGTCTCCCCTCCCCCCGCTACATCTTTTCCACTTCAGATCAGAATAGCTACACAATGGTTAGCCTCTTGAAATAAAATCTGGAACAAGCTGCATATGTTGATATCTGCGACTCTTTCCAAACCAGGAAATGCATCCTCACCCAGGGAAACCTTTCCCTGGAACATTCCGCAAAGCATACTTACCTGACAACAAAGAAGGAAGAGAAATTCTGAAGTTGCTGCAACGGGCCTTCAACCAAGGCTTGATTTTCACAGTGGGCCAGTCACGAACCACTGGCGCGACTGATGTGGTTACTTGGAATGACATTCATCACAAAACTAGTATGCATGGAGGAGAAAGGGGGTAAGTTCAATATTTTTTTTTTCAGACAAAGAATAACAAATTTTCCCCGATACTAATTTTGCATGCAGTTTTGATTATTCTGGAACTCGTCAAGTGTTGATAAAATCCATGTCAGCAGAACAGCTGCCACCAAGCCGAGTGAAGTAAACGTAGCTTTTCATCACAAAGATATTTTGCTGTCCACGAAATAGTACAATGCAATTGTTTCCTGTTGAGTGCCTTTTAGGTATATGGGATTACGATACCCATGTTCTGGAAACATGAGATTTGTAATCCAGCATATGCTAGGAATGGTTGATCTAATACAGTGGTTCTCAACCTTTTTAATGCCGCGACCCCCAACCGGTTGTAAGTCGAGGACTAAACCGGTCATAAGTCGAGGACTAAACCGGTCATAAGTCGAGGACTACCCAACCGGTCGTAAGTCGAGGACTTTCCCTGCCCGGGAGCACCGCGCATGCGTGGTTCTGCCCCCTGTGCCGGCCGAGGCGTAGCTGGCAAGCGGCAAAGACGGAGCAGGCCGACCACCAGCTGGCCCAGCTCAAGGGAGGTAAGGCACCCGCCGGAAAAGGGGAAAAAAAATGGCGGACAGCCTTGCTTGGCGACCCGTGAAATGGTCGATCGACCCCAAATGGGGTCCCGACCCATAGGTTGAGAACCATTGATCTAATACAAGGATCTCCAAGCCTGGCAACTTTAAGACTTGTGGACTTCAGCTCCCAGAATTTCTCAGCCAGCCATGAGGAAAGCTCCGATCTAATAGCTTGCGGTAATCAGTCTCCTCATTCAATCATAGTAGGAATATCCTTTGTCTGCTCACTGGTTCCCTCCCCCCTTTAAAGTGTTTCAAATATGTCTTGAATGGACTGGGGTAGGGTCTGATGAAGAGCAGGGAATTCTGAGTGAAGTCCTTTTCCTCAAAGCAAAATCTCTTTTCCTATCCCACATTGTCTGAAGGGGGGCAATCTGGGAATGGGAAGTGCCTGTAGGCAAAAGGCCTGGAAGAAGGTAGGGGTGCTTTCCTTCCATGGATTTTCTTAACTTCCCTTAAAATCCAAGCTCCCTATGGGTGCTTCAGCCAGTATTGAGCTAGAGCAGTGTTTCTCAACCTTGACCATTTTAAGGCATGTGGACTTCAACTCCCAGAATTCCACAGCCAGCAATGCCTTAAAATTGTCAAGGTTGAGAAACACTGAGCTAGAGGAAGAAAATGTGCTGCCTGGAAAGCCTTGTGGAATGTAGGAGCGCTGGTTTCTGCAAAAAGGACCCCAAAGTCAAGCTTCTCTTTCTAAAGCTGTCTTAAGTAGCTTTTAAAATATAACTAGATTTAAAAAAAAAAAAAGCAATCCTAAAGTGTTCATTAGCTTCTTGAAGTCCACCAGGTACACCTTATAATGTGTGCTTCTTAAGGAATCATAATGGTAAATTATTTTCAGTAGAAATTGTAAATATCAGGAAGATCTTTGTGCTGTGGCACCCTTGGTGCTCTCTAAACTTGGCTGTTTTCTTGCAAACATCTGCAAGAAAACAACCAAACCCAGAAAGCATCAAGAACCCCACAATTCAACCCTGAACTACCAATTTTCTCTCCTGTTAGATCTTTCTATCAGCATAATTACATGCATCGACTTATTCCTTTCTCATACATCAGTGAAATTAGATTATTTTTTTCCTCAAGTATAATTTAAACTGTTAAATTAGTTTATGTATTTGCAAACTAAGTACATTTTTTTAAATAGTTCAATTCAGCATTGGATAGTATTATTAAACATTTGTGTTCAGCGCTTCCTTGATTTAAGCAAGTCTCTTTCTTGTCTCTTTTCTAGTTTTGGTTACCCTGATCCTAATTATCTGAAACGTGTTAGAGAAGAGCTGAAGGCAAAAGGAATTGAATGAATATTTTTACTTCTGTGAGCAGTCCAGACTTTCTAGCTTGTCCATATATATATATCATTTTAATTTAGCAGAGGAGAATTAATAAAAAAAATAGCTTTGGCAGTATTCGTTGCCTTCTAGAATTTCAGAACAATTGTTAAATTAATGGTGTTGTATTTAGAATTACAGATGCAAATTGAAAGAATTGTTAATACTTTTGATCGAAGCTGCAATCCAAAAATATTATATAGAAACTCCATTAATTTCTTCACTGCAATTGTTAACGTCAAGTCTAGATATGACTATATGCATGGATAGTTAGTCTCTATGTTTACAATGTTTGATATTGTTTTGAATTTCAGCTTGTAATTTCTTTTTTTAAATCTGCTGTCGGAGCCCTTGCCATGTTGTGAATCTTCAAAATTAAAAGAGAGCTGTTGTGTGTTCTTACATTTTAGCAGACTGGATTATAATAAAGTACCCATAATATGGTAAAATCGTATTAAAGCAGCATGGTGGATAAAGAATTTGCCATTATTGGTGTTTCATGTCCAATCAGATGAGATTCCCCTACTTTGCCTATTGATTTTCCATCACCTATTCAAAAACATGGTCTAGACCAGGGGTCTCCAACCTTGGTAACTTTAGGACTTATGGACTTCAACTCCCAGAATTACTTATGGATGGCTGAGGAATTCTGTGAGTTAAAATTCATAAGTCCTAATGTTGCCTGATCTAGACAGTGGCTATGTGAAACCCCTGATCTATTCTAGACAGTGGCTATGTGAGCTTATCAAACTGAGGAAGGATACTTACTGGGATGTTTCATGCTTCAAAGAATTTTGCATATTCTTAGAGGATTGTTACTTCAATGCCCTGATTTCAAAAAAACACAGGAGCCTGTATTCTGTTGCTAGAACACTTTCTTCAATAAACATGTAAAACTACATCATATTCTTACCATTTTAGTGTAATTTCTGTACTGACTTCTCCTTTCAGCAACTAAATAGGAATACTGTATTTACCTGGCATTTAATTTAAGATGGTGCCCTGCCTCCCCCCTTATGGAAGAGTACAGTAGACAATAAATCAGGGCAGGTGAAAATCTTGCTCAGTGCCTTGCTTCTCTACTTTGTCACTTTAAAGTTACCAACTGCAGCTGCAACCAATTTTGGATCTTTAACCACCACACCACTCTCCTCCTCCAACTTTCAGATTTTGATTTCTCTCTGCAATGATTTATAGAGAAAACATGCCTTGCTTTGACCATGAACTGTCCGTTATAGGTAGTGCTCAATTTACAGCCACTCATTTAACGACCATTCAAATTTACAGTATCACTGAAAAAAGCGATGAGCAATTCTCACACAACCATCGTACATCCCCCCTGGTCAAGGGATCAGAATTTAGGTGCTTGGCAAATGGTATGTATTTACAATAGTTGCAGTGTGTCAGGGTTATGTGAGTGCTATTTGCAACCTTCCAAGCCAGCTTCTGACAAAGTCCATTGGGGAAGCCAGATTCACCTAACAACCAGCAGTCACTCAGCCACTGCATTTTCTTAATGACAGTGGCAAAAAAAATGGTTAAAATCAGGCATGACTCCTTATCAGCTGCTTCGCTTAACAACAAAAATTCTGACCGCAGTTGTGATCATAACTGAAGGACTGCCTGTATTTGGCACTTCAAGGCTATTTTTTAATAAGGAATTTAGGACTTGCATGAGAGTTTGGTGTAGGTGTCCTTTTCTCTGCTGAAACTACATGATTTCAGGAAAACCATCTCTTTTGTGCCCTAATCATCAAATTAGAAGGGAGGATAGATAATCCCCAATTCACACATATTGCATACAAAACAATTGTCGGCACAAGTGCAAGATGAAACAAATTCAAGTTTTCTGTAGGGTTACAAGCCTTTACAAACCCACTGATGGTTCTCCAATGAACATCAGTAAGGCCAATTGAGGAATTGAAAGGCCATCCATACTGAACTGTGGTTTAAACCATAAATCTCCCCTAAAGCTGTCACTCTTCCTATAGCCCAAGAACATTCATGAAGACCAAAAACATTTTTTTCAGAAACAGTTTATTGGACTACATGACAAGAGGTAATTCTTAAAAAGATTATAAATACAGGCACTTCAGTATGTAGGCCAAGATAATCCTAGTTAATTAAGACGTGGCATCATCTGACAGAGCTGACATCACTTTGTTATATTTATAAATGGTAGTGAGGAAAATCAACTAGAGATGGCAGTTCTTTGGAGGTAGGAATATTTTGGCTACCACTTTCTGACTTGTATAGTTCATCAGGTAGATGTGCCTCTTTGCGGCATTGTCTGAAAACAACTAAAGTTGTTCTATGGCTACTTTGTGAGCTTCAAGTCCTTTCAAGAAGGTCACCAGCTTTCTGCAGCTGGTGACCTTCGTTTATTGGACTATGACAAGAATTCTTAGAAAGATTATAAATGCAAGCACTTCAGTATGTAGGCCAAGATAATCCTAGTTAATTAAGTGGCATCTGGCAGGATGAGAGCTGACATCACTTTGTTATAATTCTAAATAGTAGGAAAATCAACCAAAGATGGCAGCTCCTCTCTGGAGTTGGCAAAATTTTTGGCTACTACCCATGTTTCCCCAAAAATAAGGGGTCTTATTTTTTGCTCTAAAAGACCCATTGGGGTTATTTTCAGGATGTCTTATTTTTTCACATACATGAGGGGGTGACCATGCAGGAGCCAACGGCATATGGCAGCAGTCACTCTGGGAGTAGAAGCACTGTTACCACTGGGACGGCCCTCTCCGTCCCACTGCCTGCTTGCCTGCAGCTGCAACACAACACAACATTCTTCCATGGATCGATTTCAGAAGCCACCACTGTCACTTCTTTCTGCCTCTTGGGGACGAGTTGCGAGGAGGCGGAGTAGAGGGCGCCAGGGAAGGCGGCCATGGGAACAGCTTCAGAGCCCGGCAGTGGCAAGGTTGCTAAGGGGTGGGCTTGGCCAGGCGCCCCTTCACCCTGTGAGTCTCCCAGGGCAGACACTCAGGCTGATGGAACGCACCCTTCAGGCGAAGAGACTAGCATGGACACAGGTGGGGGCAGCCTATGGACCGGGTGCCGCATGCCTCCCCTGCCCTGCTTTGGCGGGTGTCTGGCAGGTGGAGGGAGGCGGTGCGTCCGACAAACCAGTGCCACCACGAGGTGAGGCGAGGCAGGTGGGATGGGGGGTGGCCTGTGGGGCACAGGAGACTCCTCGCCTGAAGGGCACGTTCCGCCGGCACTGCCGCCTCCTGAGCATCTGCCCTGTGAGACCCATGGGGCGAACGGGTGGCTGGCCAAGCCCATCCCTTAGCAACCTGACACCGGGCTCTGAAGCCATCCCCACGGTCACCTTCCCTGACACCCTCTCCTCCATCTCATCCTCACAACTCGGTCCCGAGAGGTAGAAGGAAGCAGCAGCGGTGGCTTCTGAAATTGATCCGGGGAAGAACAGACAGTTGAGGAGGCACTTTCTTCCCTTTCAGCCCCTTCAGTCGCCAAAAGAGCCAAGCAGCAATTGCTCAGGGAGAAAACAAGGCAAAGGTGTGTGAAGAAATCTTTCCCCCCCTCACAGGCGTCCCCCCAAGCGAGTGACGTCGAGATGGCCACACCCACCCATCTCCCGGCAACCACAATACTAACCTAAATGTGTCAGTCTGTCTGACAATCTTAACTGGGGCTTATTTTGGTGGTAGGGCTTATATTAGGAGCATGCTAAAAAATCAGGCTAGGGCTTATTTTCTGATTGGGTCTTATTTTCGGGGAAACACGGTACTTTCTGACTTGTATAGTTCATCAGGTAGATGTGGCTCTTTGCGGCATTGCCTGAAAACAACTAAAGTTGTTCTATGGCTACTTTGTGAGCAACAAGTCCTTTCAAAAAGGTCACCAGCTTTCTGCAGCTGGAGTGACCAATTCATGGCTGTAGGGTGAATCTATTTTTTTTCAGGCTGACACAATGTCGTAAAGCAAAACTGGCTTTTATTTTAACACCATTTGATAGTAAAATTTCTCATAAGCCGTTCTCTTCTAAATACCATAAGCATGGAACCATTTTGGATTAAGGACGAGATGGAAACTAGTAATACAATTAAATGTTGTTTTCTTACTACCTTCTCAAGCAATAATAGGCATATTTAATTGATAGATAGGTGTTGCCAACCACTTTTCCAGAAATAATACAAAAAAATTCTCACTCATAACTTGCTTATAACCAGAGAGAAATGCAGAAATAGGTGCTGAATGCTCCTGGAAAAAACAGATAAATTGGTGGAGGACACAGAAAGTGACATGATAGCAAAATTCAGAATTCAGAATGGATAGAACCACCAGGAAAAAAAAAGAGAAAACACTGATTTGGCTGTTTTAAGCATCAGTGTCTTCCTCTAGAAAAAGCACCCATTGTTTTATTTCATTTGAAGTACAAAATGACTTTCATTGAAACTGAAAGGGATACTTTGAAAATCTGATCAGTATTAAGTAGACTTCAAAACGTTCCTTAAGTCGAGGATTATCTATATATCTTCATTGCATTTACACGATTGCAATGCTTAGTTCTATCATTTTCTTCAAATACGTTCTCTATCCAGAAAATCATGTTCTATCCTCTCTTGAATATCATTTTCTGACCTCTTACTGGATTTTACTTATTTTAGTCTTTTCCACTCTAGAGAGGAACTAAATACTGAATCGAGATTCAAGTGACAAGTATTTTAAAAAGGTTCATTCAAACTACTTGCTTTTAATGTGAGAAGAAAGGGAAATAAATCACGTTTTGCCTGTTAACCTATCTTCTAAAAGTAATTAGATATTCTGGGTAAGCCTGAGCATCGTGAAAGATAACAAACATTGATGGTTGATTCATGTTGTCAGTTACACTGTTGTATAGGTCAAACCCGCCATTATTTTTGGGTGGAGGTATAATCTGTCCAGAGCTTCCAATACAATAATCTCCAGTCAGAACATGGGCAACGTACATATATTTTCTGCCATTTGCGTCTGGCTTGGAGAAGGCATCCTGCGCAGAATAATTTGAGCAGACAGCAAAATAGGTCCCATTACCAATTGATGCAGCTGAAACCAAGAAAAAAAAGTATAAAACATAAAAGATACTGAAAAAATAAACAATGGAAAACACCCCTATTGGCACTTCAGCTTTAAGTGATGAATTATAAAGTTATCTAGCCAGTTGTAGTTCTAAAAATGCCACCGATTGTGTTGTTCATTCAGCCACACCAAATTGATGGAAAGGAATCTGAAACCTCTGATATTAGGAAGAGCAAACAATACATTGTAAGCAGAGATGTATAAAACTGAGTTGTCACCACTACCACTTTCATGAAAAATAAAGGCCTGACGGCCTGGTTTTTCAATTCTCAAAACTGAAAAAAGATACTGCTGCCGTTTGTACCCACAATCCATCCACTGAGCAGAATGAGATGCTGAGCACTCAGCAGCCACAATTCTATTGACTCCCCTGAGAGAAAATAAAACTCTTGTGTATGAACTCTTCTCACAGCATTGCCCGTAAAAATGCAGCTGTTTGTCAGATCCCTCTTCCTGTGTTGAGTCTGCACGGCTCCCAGAAAGACGCCATTCAAACTAACCCAGTGTGCCTAAGAGTTTGCAGATGTTTGTAGTTTTTCTTTTATAAGTTTTAATACTTTTATGAAGTATCTCTTTTATCATTGTTTCAGCACTTTGGTTCTAAATGCTGTTTTATAATAGGTTTTTGTTGCCTTTTAAATGACAGCACAAAGCTCTTCTCTTAGGATTTAAGCTTTACTTTTCTTTTGACAGTGTATTCTTTTCAGCAAGTCTTTTTTTTCTCTAGTTTTTTTTTTAATCAGATTCTTTACTAAACCTTGCAAGGAGGAGAGGAGAGAGGAGATGCTGTTGGGCTGCTTTTTAAAGATCTTTATACATCTTTGAAACTCAGTGCTTTATGTCATATTCCCTTATATCTGCTTGGAAGGATCTTACCATTCTTTCCAGCATAACTGCGGTTAAAGCCAGTCTGGTAAATTGACACCACTGTGGAAAAGGAAGTCCCATGGAAAAGGATCTTCTCATTGTTTCCATGCCCATTTTGTGTATCTATTTGCTTTTTCTTGACTTGATAGGCTTGCCAGAGGTAAGGATTCTGTACCCTGTCAATCTACAAAGATTGCAAAGGTAAAACGTTATTATTCATTTACCAGTATCATTCCCCACCATACAATATCTGTATTCATCTCCCGTGAGTTTTATCATTCTCCCTTGGTGACTATGCTAAGATTAGAAATAAACAATCTGAGAAGAAAGGTCGCAATGGAGAATTGGCAAGGAGAGTCTCTTACGTGTTCACTTCTCGCCAAAAAGGTCAGGTCCTCTGCATTGTCTTTATTCAACACGCATGGGACTGTGTTTATTTATTTTAATTTATTAAATTTATATAACTGCCCATGTCACTGCTGTACTGTTGAATTTTTAAAAAAACCTTGAACAAAAACAGCAACATAACTATAAAAGTCATTAAAAGTACTCAGAAGCTGTATGCCTAATATCTTCAGAAGATCACTACAGGCAAAATAAATGCAATTTCTTTTGTGGCTATTCGGGATTATGGAAAGGCCAGTGACACCACTGCTATCATATCTGGGTAAAACTTCAGAAAATGCCCCTCACGAACATCAAGATTCAGTGAATTATATTCCCTTTGGAATGCTTTTCCTATTGCTAAATTCAAAATGGGGCAGATGTATGCAAAAGCAATCATTGTAGATCTAGGTTTATTATGGCCACCACTTGGAAATATGGAAGATGGAATTACTGAGACAGCAGCAGCAAGTTTCATTTGTCAGTATTGGGCTGCTTTGTGGTCAGAAGACATTTGATGGTGGAGAAAGTGTCAGCAAGGACTGTTAAGCGTTGTGACTCAGTTCACAAGTAGATGTAGCAGACCCAGAACCATGGAGGACATGGAGTGGAGTTCAATAGTCTAATACAGGCATGTCAAACTTGCAATGCCATGTAACGTCACACAAGGTATCGCAACTTTCTCCCCATTGCTGGCAATGGAGTGGTCGTGGTTTCGGCGTCATGTATCCGGCCCATGGGCTGGCAGTTTGATATGCCTGGTCTAATACAATACAGACTCCAATGACTAAGGACCCCTGGTGGCACAGTGGTTAAAGTGCAGTATTGCAGGCAAACTGGAGTTCGATCCTTAAGGGGCTCAAGGTTGACTCTGCCTTGTATCCTTCTGAAGTCAGTAACAGGAGGACCCATACTGTTGGGAGCAATATGCTGATATTGTAAACTGCTCAAGAGTACTGTAAAGCACTATGGAGTGGTATAGAAGTGTTATTGCTGTTGTTACTACCTGACCTTCAGTTTAAAGGATTAAAATTGTGAAGGAATATGGACACTGACTTCAACTCAATGAGATATTTCCTAGCTATTCTAGTTCTTTTCTCCTTCCTCTCTTTTATACTGGTGATATAGATACAGGATGTATTTGAATATTCTCACTTTCTGGGTGTTACACATTATCCTACTTCTTTTCCCATGTGAAGGTATTACCAACTCTTGAGCCAATCCTGTAGCCAATCACTGATGCTCAACACCACTCAAGAATTCAAAACGGAAGCCCACTGGTGTTGTACGGGATATAAAGTTGTGGAACACAAAAGTGGCCCTTTTCAGCTGGGTGATTTTGGGCCGGTCACTCTTTCTCAGCCAAAACCCACCTCACAGGGTGGTGGTTGTGGCAAAAATAGAAGGAAGGTGTGTTGGGGTTATTTGCTTCCTTAAATTCAGATCAAATGTCACCTTTTCAATTGTGAACGTAGGGCAGCCAATCTGGAATATTTTTACAATGTCCTTATATTCTCCTGCTGTGGGCTGTAGTGGAACCAGTTTGACATGATTTCCTTTCATATCTTCCCAATGTTCAGGAAGATGTTCTAATAGTTTGCCTGAAAAATAAACATTTTGTTAAAATAGTGACATAACCCACCAGAAAACAGCACTGTGCATAAGTTTGAAATCAATGGAATTCGCAATTATCTCCCCTTGTGCATTACTGTCAAGCTGCAAAGAATGCTTATGCTGCTTCAACAATTACTGCTTCTTAGCTTGCCTACAGACTCGGGGGAGGGTGGCATGGAAAGTGGAGGTGCCAAGCTGCCAGGCAGTGAGAACCAAGGTGCTCAAGAATTGTTTACGGAGAACTGAAGACTTGTTCTCATAATAATTGTCTGACACTTTATTGGACAATGTGACCTGCCCTATTAGGGGGAGGGGAGGTTCTATAGTTTTAATATACTGATTTTGGCACCAAATAACCAGAGCTGGTTTTCCATTTATCTGTGTCAAAATGCTGTACTCAATAAAGTTTTGCATTAGAGATTGGATCGTGTCAGCTGTGCTTATTTTGTTGGGTTCGTCAGTCGGAACTTTGACAATTACATTTTTTGTTAAAATCTTCACCGTGGTTTGGCAACTCTGCACAGAACAATTATTTTTCATCATCACAACTGTCCCATCAGCACTCACAAACTAAGTATCAGGAGTCTTAAGAACCATGGTGGTGCAGTGGTTAGAATGCAGTACTGCAGGCTAACTCACTGCTCACTCCAGGAGTTTGAGTCTGAACAGTTCAAGGTTGACTCAGCCTTGCATCCTTCCAAAGTCAGAAAAGTGAGGACCCAGATTGTTGAGTACAATATGCTGACTCTGTAAACCGCTTAGAGAGGGCTGTAAAGCACTATGAAGCGGTATATAAGTCTAAATGCTATTTCTATTTCTAAACAACTATTTCCATCTTTTCATTTTGCTCCCACATAAACTACATTCCTGTTGACTCTTTTCCTCCAATAACTAACCACCTTTCTTTTCTTTCTACTTAGCTTCCAAAGAAGCACTATTTATAGACTTGGAAGTTTATGTTCTCCTTAGTAGAGCAATTTACAAATTGCAAATGTTTTTAGAGTACTTCTTGGGCATCATGTTTCAAGAGCAATTTCTAGGGTAATAAATTGTTTTTGGTCACTTAATATATTAACCAATTAAGATAATTTAGATTTTTTGCAAACATTGCAGATTTTTTTCAGAAACTGGCTATCATAGTGGACATGTTCAATTTCAAAAGACATACTCAACAATCCTCTACTCCGATAGAGATGCTCTCAGCCTGTCCCCATTTTTTTATACTACAAATATGCCTCAACTGCTTACAATGAAATCCAAATACATTCTCACAAATAAAGATGATTCTAGAGTCTGGTAGATGTATCACCTTCCCATTGATTCTGATTCTTTTTAAAGAAAAAAGTTGAAAACCTTCAAATTCAGATGGAGAAGGAAGCCTGATATAGGCCAAGAAAAATGTCTCCAGACACGGGGGAAGTTACAAGCATTGTATCAACTTATTCACTGATTCCTTCACTTTGGGGAAAGGAATACTGTAGTACCAATTCCTACCAAATAGTGAAAACAAGCCTAAAATTCTGGCTGGAAAATGAACACATGGGACACCTGCTCTACACATGAACAAGTCTTGCACATCCAGTATGGAATTGACAGTCATGTTTTGATGCCAGGTCTGTTCACTTTAATTTAAAACAAATTCCATGTGATACACCCACATTCATCTGTCTTGTACCCTTGCCCTACCCCATTTGCACTCTTTTTAAAGCATGGGGAGATTTTTGACAGGTGACCAAAGCAGTAATCTAGCCAACCTCAGTTATTTAAGATGTTCATTACCTTCATCCTTTCCAACACGTTTAATTTTCATACTTTTTCCTTGGCTGTCTACAACACACATCTTGTTCAGGTCGGCTGTGTATTTCTGTCCCTGTATTTGGATCTGAATTTGTCCCTTTTTGCTGATTTTAGCATCTTCTAAATCAAGGTTACTTAATGTATCAAAAGGTAGAAAGACATTTCCATATGCAAAAAACTGCCACTCAACCAAAACGTTAACAAGTTCTGCCTTGGATTTCTTTTCCTGGTCAGCTTTAAGTGTTTTTAATAGGTTCTGGATTTCTGTGAAAGCAGTGAGGACATCCCGGGGGATACCAGATACCAAAATAAAAGGAGGGGACTCCGTCTTGTTCAGATGGATGGCAATATTCAATCTTTTCTGGAGGTCATTCAGTCTCTTGATTTCGGCATCAGCAAATGTGTCTATCAACTCATCAACAATGAGATTTTCTGTCTGTTCCTTGAAAATCAATTTTCTTAGCCAGCCTTCAGCCTCTTCCACCTTTTTCCAGTTTTCGCCACATATCTCAAAAGATGACGTCTCAATCTTCTTTTCCAACACTATAAAACTTTTCTTTTTAGCAGGTGACTTCCTATCAGTTAGAAATGCTATAAGCAAAAGGGAAATTCTGTAAGTGCACACTCAAGAGGAAAAAAAATGGAAAAGAACATTCACAGTAAATGAACTCACTACTTTAAATTTAAACTTAGAAGACATAGATTCAGAAATGGGCAATGTCTGACCTTTATTTTCCAAAATGGTGGAAAAGGATTTTTGCATATGTGGCTGAAAAACAACAACTTTAACAAGTTTCAAGTATCGAGGCAACTGTTTTCCTGCAAAGTCAGCAACTGCACTGATGATATCATCAGCTGCTTCGTCAGGACTCCCTCTTCTTTGACCTGTATCAGATACAACAGAGAAAACTCAACAAAATATACTTATTGTTAGTACTTATTACAATGAGAGATTCAAAGCAAGGATGGGCCAGCCATGCCTTTTCAGATATCGGACTACAATTCTCATCATCCCTAACTGCTGATCATTCAAGCTATGATTCAAGAATATGCAAGAATCTTATATCTGGAAGGCCATTGGTTCTTTATTTGTGAGTTGCTAACATTTGCTATATAGCATTATCCTCATATATTCCCACAAATCAAGATGCATTTTTAAAACAACCAATCAGTCAAGCAGAATGTTGCCTACTTCCCTTATAGAATGGGTATGTACCATGAATTTAATTTACTTCTTGCCTTTCTTTCATCACTGGCATCAAGTTTAGCCTTTAGAGCAGGGGGTATCCAAATGTGGCAATTTTAAATCTTTAAGGGTCAGTCACTGGTAGTACCCTCAAAAACAGCCTCCCCCATAGATCTACATGAGTCTTTTGTAGTCAGGACCTCAGTTTTAATAGTTTTCAGGATGAGATCTAGGAAATTGATACATTGCACTATCATGAGTGTTTGGATTCAAAATAAGTGGGGGCAATGGATGTCTACTTGGGGAAAATGTTGAAATCTGGATTGCAATCCCCAATCCACCCCTTTTATATGTGCACTGATACTGCACAAACATATATATATCAAGGAGAGAAACAACCTAGAACTAAGGAGAAACTTCCTGACAGTTAGAACAATTAACCAGTGGAACAACCTGTCTCCGGAAGTGGTGAATGCTCCAACACTGCAAGTTTTTAAGAAGAGACTGGACAGCCATTTGTCTGAAATGATATAGGATTTCCTGCCTGAGCAGAGGGGTTGGACTAGATGACCTCCAAGGTCCCTTCCAACTTTATTGTTATTATTATTTATTATATTATATGCAAGAGGTGGAGAAAAGGTTGCAGCATCGTTGCACAGATTTTTGGTTATTCTAAAAGAATCTCCAGATTCAACAGACACCTCTGGTCTGGAAACTGCATGCAAAATCTGTGGGACTTTTTTTTCTTCTCTAGGGACTTCTCTGTTTGGGCTTTTGTTTACCATGCTAGTTTTACCCTCTATTGTTTCTTAAATGTGTTAAGTGAATTACAGTATAGAATTTGTGCAGCTGAATTACTGTGCTGTCCATGTAAAAAATGAAGCTGATTTTCAACAATTAAACTTCTCAGATAAGGCTGTTATGCATCATGATCCATAACAATCTGTAATGACATGAAATGTTAACAATACACTTCATGATGCTATGACATATCTAATGCAAGCTATCCCTTTGTATCATGATGTATACATCATCATTTTCTCCTCTATTCCCTCTCAGTTTGCCTATGATGTGCTGAGTCTGGGTTCAAAAGATCACAAGGAGTAGTAGACCCCTGGTTATTTACTTTATATCTAAGATAAAAGCCTGAAAGCAGGATGAAGACAACAACAAAGACAAGTTAAATCTCATCCAAGGCAAGCTTGAAGTCCCAAGGATTTCATGGACACCTTCATGAAGTTTACTTAAGAGCAACACATGAAGAGTTTGCCACTGCATTCTTCTAGGATGTTATTTCAACTTCTAAGTATAGCCTACAGCTCTATTATTCCCTAAGAGTCCTAAACACACCAAGGGGGCTGCTGTCTGCAAATGAATGGAAGTCATGAAGGAGAAATTAAGAAGTCAACTGTAACAAAACAGAAAGTCAAAGATTGATCCTACTTCATTTTGAGGATGGGAATATAGGGGAAATTCATCTCCTTTGTCATGTTCAAACATAGAACACTGGAATTTGTCCATATGAGCAACAGTTCACATTTTCTACCCATGAGCTAATTTAGGAGACTGTCGCTAGGATTTAGGACATAGGCTCCTCCTTAATGAAAGCTTTATTCTGGAAAAGCACAAATGATTATCTGGGAGGGGCAGGGGGGGAAATACAAACCTGTTCCAATTACAGGGAAGGCTACAGAGGCATACTGTTTTGCTTCACATTCCTGAAGAACTTTGGAGACCAGTATTTGGATGCTGGAGCAAGGAGCCAGGTGGATAATTTTTTTACAGGTTAGTTTGCCATTCTGTGTTGTTACAAATCCATTGTGAGGCTGAGAGGCTGGAAAAATGAAAATGATAACTTCTCCATGAACTATATCCTTGGCATATAGCCTACTAAATTCAGTGCTCTCTTCTTAAGGGAGAGCACCAACTATAAACTCTGACAACTGTTCGCCCTTTGTTGCCTACTGCAAAGACATTTTTGGCACATTGCCGAAAAATTGGGTGTTCTTTTTAAAGTCAAATTGTAGAAATACAGCCTTCTTTGGAACATGCAGAGAAAAGTAAAGAATACCCAATTTTTGGGCATTGCTTCAATCTGCATCTCTCTCTTCAGTTAGATCAGACATGTCAAACTCAAGGCACATGGGCCAGATCCTGACCGTGATGTGTTTAGATCTGGCCCACAAGCAGACTAGTAGGAGGAGGTGATTGAGTATATGTGGGGGAGGGTGAGCTGAAGTGATGGCAGTGTCAGAGAGGTCTAGGGGAGAGTCAGCTGAAGCTGCAGTGTTTCTGGGGCTCTACCGAGACCCTAGGATTAGCGTGTACAACTCCAGGATATAAAAGGAGGGGTTTTGGCAGGAAGGAGCAGGAGTGAAGGGGGAAAGAAGGGGATAGGATAGGAGAGGCTTCTGTGGGGCAAGCCTGAGGGACGGAAGGGGATAGGATAGGATAGGATAGGATAGGATAGGATAGGATTCTGTGGGGCAAACCTGAGGGAGAGAAGGGGATAGAATAGGAGAAGCTTCTGTGGGGCAAGCCTGAGGGAGAGAAGGGACAGCAACTGGCCCTTTGAGGGCAACCATAATGCTGATGTGGCCCTCAATGAAATTGAGTTTTGACAACCCTGAGTTAGATGATCACAAATCTCCAAATGGCTTTTTTCTTTCTCATAACCAAACACAGCCTCTTTCCCCAGCCCAAACATGTTGGGATTACAATTCCCAATATTCTAAAAGGAACTAAATGGGAAAAAAGGTTTCCAAATTTAGTTTTTAACTAATCCCCCCCCTGCTGCAACCCATATACTACTGGGGGGGAAAAGTGTAGATTTGTGTCTGGCTTCCTAATTGGATCCAGATAAAATTTATCTCTTTTTCATCAGCACGTTGCCTCCTGCTGATTCATAGATCTTTCTTTACAACAACAACAACTAACTTGCAGAATAATACTGACAAATGTATTCAGAACTATCATTAAATAATCTAGGAAATACCAAGCAAACTATATTTGGCAATTGAATTCTGCCAACTCCTCTATTACCTAACCCAATGGGACTTCTTGTTGCACCTTACCAAGTTTTACACATTCTGCTTCAATTTCAGGTCCTGCAGCTTCCAAAATTGCTTTGGAGACACCTGTAAAGATATGAAAAAGGGAAGAGGAATATGTATGAAAGTAAACAATGAACATCTCTGGTTACAAGAAAATAGTTTAAATTCCTCAGTTATTTCAATGAATCTTCATTTTTCACTCTCACTCATTCATACACATGCAAACAGACTTTTGCATATCCAGATAGCTTTTTGTCTCACCAAGAATGAGCACTCAGCTTATTTTATTACGATGTTCAGAAGATGTTCATTTGAAATTCAATACCTGATTTGGATGTAAAGTTTTCATTGGTCACATTCACAATGACATCTGTGTTTTCCTTTATAATATCTCCTATCATTGACTGGAAGGTAATGGATCCAATCTTCATTTCATTACTCCCTAAAGCTGAAGTAGAAAGGGATCCAAAGAAAAATGTGATTGAGAAAAGCAGTATGATTGAGTTATAGCACTTATATCCCTGGACTGAGCACTATCCTCCTATTCTTTCTAAAAGATATAAACACCTATTTCAAGATCCAGTAAATAAAATCATTTTCTTTTTCTGTATCCAAGGGAATAAGGTCTGTACATCTGCGAAATGCTACTCTTAAAAATGGCACCTTGAACATCTAAGATGCTACTCAACTCTGCCGATTTTTCCATGACCACCAAAGAGTGAAATTAGATCTATGATCAAGATCTAGCAAATATCCCCAAATTTTTAATAGAGGTGCACCCCAAAAGGCCACTGAAACTGCATGCGCCACTGAGTTTAGCTGTGAACCAAGACTTGTTGTTACTGTATATTCGCAAGTTTCTGGTTGGCACACATGGATCTTCACAAAAACTAACATATGATGTTACAGTATCTGTGAGTTCATCCAAGTTGGCAGGTATCTTCGAAAATTTTCCAGTCAGTGCAGTCAAAGCAAATCTGTAGCTTTAGCTTTGCCTTCTCTGTCCAAGACTTCACTGATTTAATTGTTGTTTTTATGGTTTTAAGCCTTCGTCTATAAACAGGTACAAGGTGAATCATACAATGATCAGAGTGTCCCACAGCTGCTCGTGGTAAAGACCAATAGGCATTTTTTAGTGTTGTGTAGCAGTGGTCTAAAGTATTCTTGCATCTAGCAAGACAGTTAATGTGCTCAAAGTATTTTGGTAGCTCTTGGCTTAAGTTAACACAATGAGGAGTGAATCAAGATTTTTTTCTTCAGCCCACATAATCTGGTCAGCAAGAGTTTGCAATGCTTTATTTGTGCAAGCTTGTGGCAAAATGTACACTGCAAATAGGACAAATGAGGAAAACTCTCGTGGAGAATAAAATGGTTTGCATTTGATTTTGTTGTATTTGTATTAGAATCTCTTCTTTGTTTGTAAAGGGGGGGAGAGAAGTCACAGAAAGCTGCCCATTAAAAAAACATTTCTTGATGCTTAACAATTGGTCTCTTGAGTATGGAATTCGAAGTGAATCACAGCAAATAATAGAAAATAACAAAACTATCAGATAGCATTTCACCGAGGCTGACATTGGCGCCATCTTCATGATATCCACGGACTGAGCACTATCCTCCCATTCCTTGTAAAAGATATAAATACCTATTTCAAGAGCTAGTAAAAAAAATCAATAAGGGCTGCATATCTGGGAAATGCTACTCTTAAAAGTGGCACATTGAACATCTAAGATGCTACTCAACTCTGCCGATTTTTCCATGACCACCAAAGGGTGAAATTAGAAAATCTATGATCAAGATCTAGCAAATGTCCCCAAATTTTTAATAGAAGTGCCCCCAAAAAGGCCACTGAAACTGCATGTGCCTCACTAGAACAGTTCTTTGCCCGAAGAAGAAGAGGACATTTCCAAGAGGAAAAAAATGTGGCTCATTCATATGCTGAAATAATTCAGGGAAACATTATAATCATCAAGGATTTGCTGAACAAGTCATTCTACTCTAGTTTGTGCTTCATAAGTTTGGTCTAGTGGTTAAGGCACCAGGCTACAAAGTGGGAGACTGTGAGTTCCAGTTCCACCTGAGGCATGAAAGCCAGCTGGGTGGCTTTGGGCCAGTCACTCTCTCTCAGCCTAACTCACCTCACAGGATTGTTGTTGTTGGGAAAAGAGGAGGAGTTCGCTCCCTTGAGAAATTTTTAAAAATAATAAAGGCAGGATACAAATAAATAAACAAATCATACTAAGCTGTGATTCACAAACAATAATAGCTGTATTTGTACAGTGCATTAACTACCAAAACCAACCAAATCATGCTATGGCTTTGCATATGTGTTCATGGCCATTCTGAAAGAAAGTATAAAACAGAAGATCTCCAGTCTTTCCGGCTTTGCAGACTGGCGGGGGGCGGAGGGAGAGGGAATGACTATGTGTGAGGCATGGGCGCACGCACTTACCTGCCACTTCCATGGCCCGGTTCCAAATGGGCCAAGGCCCAGTAGTGGGCCATGGGCCGGAGGTTGAGGACCCCTGGTATAAAACATCTTCTGAAAATGTGGTCCCTCCATTCTTCTAGTAGCTATTACTGATATTATTTAAAGGAAGGCCTGTCCACATATAACTCATGTTACATCCCAGTTGGACCTAATATAGTTCTGGAACTCATAATAAGAAAAAGGTGGAGAAAGAAGAAAAGTCCGTCCAACTGAGCCCACCCATTACCTGCCATTTCTTCACTGCTCGGTGACGCAGCCTGGAGAACACCATCAATCCCAGATTGAAAAACCTCTGTAAATGCCTAGGGGGGAAAGTTATCCATCTGTTTCCAAAACTTTGCAAAAAAGGAACAATAACACCATGGAACCATTCTTACAAAAATTGAATAATGGCACTGGGGGTAAAGGACTCACAAATTTGGGGGTCATGAGGGACAGTGTCATTGGATGCCCCTTGATATAATGAGTGTTTCTACTAAAAATAGGTGCATCCAACATCTTCAGTAAAATATAACAGCTTCCTGAATAGGGGGAAGCCAGCAAGCTGTTAACTCTATATTTTTACTAAAATTTACTAACATTATGGCAAAATTGCTCCACCACTACCCTGCCAAAACCATGGGGCTGTAGGTAACTGCTTAATTTGACTGTCTTGAAAGACATCACTGATGCTTATCTTTAAGCAGAAGAGGTGATTGATTGGATGAGTAAAGATACAGCCAAATAGGATCAGAGTGATATGTGCACTACTCCATAGAACAGTGATGGCGAACCTTTTAGAGACCGAGTGCCCAAAAATTGGCCCCGCCCCCACTCCATCCCCCTGCCCCGCCTGCCCACAGGACAACTCACTGCCTCCAGGGCCCGCCGCAGATCGCCCAGGCAGCCCAGCAGCGCTATGGCGGCCACACCCTCTGCCCGCACCCTGCAGCATCAACTGCATGATGGGGTGTGAGGGCAGTTTTGTCTACGCTGCCTGGTTGCCATGTCCTTGGCTGCATGCTCCGTGTGGGCCATGCTCGGGGGCAACTCTCCTTCAGGGGGGGCTGCTGGAGAGGAGGGGGTCGCGGGGGGAGGCAAGGCTGGGGCAACGGCACGTGTGCCCACAGAGAGGGCTCCGAGTGCCGCCTCTGGCACCCGTGCCATAGGTTCGCCACCACTGCCATAGAATGTTTAAACATGGTTAAAAGGATAAATCACATTTGGCTGGATTTGAATATACCATGTCACAAACCTTAACAAAACAAAACATTAAGTTTGGTAAGAGAGCCAGTTTGGTGTAATGGCTAGAAACCAGGAGACCATGAGTTCAACTCCCATCTTAGCCATAAAAAATTACCCTGGTTATTTTGGACCAGTCTCTCTCTCTCAGCCCACATGGTTGTTGTTTTGTGGAAAATAGGACAAGGAAAGTGTGTTGGATATTTGTCGCCTTAAGTTATTTACAAAAATAGTAAAGATGGGATAAAAATGAATGTATTAATTAATTAATTTAGCCAAAATCAAGCAAATCACTTTGTAAGTTTGGAAGATATGTGGACCACCTTTGAATGTATCTGGGAAAGTAGATGCCCATCCAACAATCCAGCTTGGCTGCTGCTGCAATTATTTTGTAATTATTAGCTAGACATTTACAATTTCTTTTGTGAGGTAAAGTTTGAGGTTTCTTAAAAACAAACGGCAATTTCTTATTTAGAAGAAAAGTAACATTACCTTTATATTGTCTTTATCTTTTGGATGTAGGAGAACATGAACTTTCTGAAGGGACTTGAAATTCTTCTTTCTACTGAATGTAAGTATTTCCTTAAACATACATTTAGCCACCTCAGAATTTGGAAAATTAAAACCTCCACTCCCAATGGCTGGGAATGAGATAGACTTTAATGATAACATTTCAGTCCTCTCTAGACATTTCCTCATAATATTTTGAAGTTTCTGTAAAATAGAAAGCAATATTTCACATTCATGCTTTAAAAGGCCCAATATTAAGACAAGGCTTAACTTAGGAGCCAGAATAGACAAGAGGTATGCACAGATCAACCTCATTCATACATAAAGACAGGGATATGAAAAACATGGAGAGCTAAGCAGATAAGTCAACTGTCAAAATTTTTAACCAAAATACAATGGAAAATATGTCACCCATGGATAAGGTGTTCCAAATTTGTTATGGTATTTTACCGTAATTAAAAATTCAAAGATTGGTTTATACACAGATGGGCTTATTCACAAGCACGAGGGCAGTTTGGAAATAAACCTCCGTTTGAGCATGTGCGAGAAATAGGCAGAGACAGCGACGCCCGTCCTATGGCACCTTGCACAGTAATTCAGTAGGCAGTGAGGAGTGGAAAGAGAAGGTTGTGTTGCAGTTGACTCGTCCGCTAGATCAATTGAAAATGAATTCTGCCATAGAAAATCCCGCCAAATGTGAAGTGCGTGCAGTAATACGATTCCTGTGTGCGAAAAAACTTTTGGTAGCTGTGATTCATTGCGAACTGTGTAATGTTTATGGGCCAAACGTGATGAGTGAAGGTGTTGTATGTCAATGGTGTCGCATGCTTAAAGATGGACAAACTGACGTGCACGATGAGGCAAGAAGTGGCCGCCCATCTATAATCAGTGATGAACTTGTGCAGGAAATTGACAAAAAGATCCGTGAAGTCCATTGGTTCACAATATCTGCACTTTCTTTACACTTTCCCCAAATTTCTCAGACTGTTTTGTACAAGGTAGTGACAGAAAATTTGGGATACTACAAGTTCTGTGCTTGTTGGGTACCAAAGCTCCTTTCTGAGGAGCACAAAACACACCGAATGAGTTCATGATGCTGTTACAGGGTGGCTTCATTCCCAGGTGGGAGATTTTTTTGCAGAAGGAATTTCAAACCTTGTAAAATATCATAACAAGTGCCTCAATTTGATTGGCGATTATGTCAAAAAGTAATGTAATGTACTTTTCTAACGTGTATAATAAAAGTTCAGTATTTGCGTCTGTCATTGATAACCAAACAGAGGTTTATTTCCGAATTACCCTCGTATATATATGTTCATATATGATTATATATCCTCATAGATAAACCCATCTGCAGATAAGCCGAACTCATTTTTAGGTACATTTTAGCACCCAAAATTCTTAGCTTATCTTCAAATATATAAAGTATTCAGGAATAAGATGGACAATTTAGCATACATGCTTTGTAACTTTAGTGCAAATTAACACACAAAGACAGATGTTAAAACCAAAACTGTGTAGCAGAGCCATTGAGAATGCCCAGGAAAGTATTGGCAAAGCTCAAGAAACTGCCTTGAATATGCACAAGGAGCATAAAAGGAAGTATCGGTTTCCACTATTCTTTAACCTAAATTGTTAATTTCATGTAGAGACATAAGATTATAAACAAGGGTCATAAACAATCCTTCTTTTTGACTCGTGAACATTATATTCCAAGACAATTACAGCAAACAAGGAAGCAAAATGAACCAGTACCTTGATTGCATTCCCTTTTCCTGCATCCCACTGTGGAACTATAACGTGGAACAAGAAAAGACAGGCAAGATTATGCCCGTGGGTTGGAATTACACAGTTGTCTAGGGCTCCTTGATCTTGGACCATTTGATGGAACTCATCTTGAAGCTCAACTCCAGCCTTCTGCAGCACAGCTTTTGAAAGTGGGCCTACGCCAAGCTTTAGATCCTCGCCAATAGTGCTTACGATAATATCTGTCTGGAATCAAAGCCATGTTAAAATTACTTCCAATTAGGGTTGCCAGGTCTGCTTCCAAAAAATAGCGGACAAGCGGGGGGGGGGGTGTTAAGTAGTAAAAAAAGTAGACTGTACAGCTTTAGATTACGTACCATTTCATCATAAAGCTTTTGAATAAAAAATGTCCACTGTTTTGTGGAAAAAAAATAGTGAACATAATGTGAAAAAAGTGGACTGTCCACTCAAATAGTGGACACCTGGCAACCCTACTTCCAATAAGATTTTATGTATTACAAGATTAACTGACTAGGAGCTAAGTATGTGTATCAGAGTATTCTTTGACCCACGATGCTGTTATTAAGGTAACACAGGGAGAAAACAAACAAATGAGACATCTTTGATTCACTGGAGATTCCAGCAGGGAATGGGAACGGTATGGGAAAAGGGTTGCTAATTTCTTACAACTCCATCGCCAATGACTCATATCATAATGAATTAGTTCCCAATTTGGCATGGATTATTCATTCTAGAGGTTGGACGAGTGACAGAGAAATCACTAGCACTTCCTTCCATTATCAAGGTTTAAGCATGCCTTTTCGATTAACAGAACCTACGAAATAGAGCATGGAAAATCAGTCCATATCCTTTGCCCGAATGTGAAAAGTAGAATTTTCTACTACTCATGCATCATATCCCTGGTTCAGAATCTTCTCTCCAAAGGCAAGAACCTTTAAAATTAGTCAAGATTAAAAGACTATTCCAGTCTTCTCCAAGATGTGCACCTAATTCTAATCTTAACACAACGAATCCATCTAGGCACTGGAGAAGTCGTATTCAGATGTCAATTTTGTTTTAGACTTCTCCTTCAGTATGAAATATCAGCATTTTAGAAGCATAATATAAATGGTTCTAAATGAATAAAAATATGTTTTAGCTGCATTTAAGATAATTTAAGTTCCTCTGCTAATATAAATACTTACCGTAGCATCTTCGATGCCTTTTTCTTCTAGGATAAGTTTCAGACCTTCATGAGAAGTCACTACAAGATCGTCTTTACTCTCCATACGTTGACTGTTTGATCGAGAAGACAGTGATGTGGGCTGGGGTGGTCCACTTTTAAACACTTCGCGTAAAGCATCAGAAAAAGCCTGAACTGTTTTGGGGGTCGTATCAACCAGGCAAATCTGTTTCAGGCTGCTGTTCTCAGAAAATTCTTCTAAGGTTTCCTTAATGGCTGTTAAAATGGAATGAGTGCACTCTTTTATTGGGAATCCAAAAATCCCAGAGCTTATGGCAGGGATAGCTATGGAGCGATGACTGAATTTTTCTGCCAGTTTTAAGCTTTCCCTTACAGCTTTCTTTAATAGTTGTATACAGTTTTTTTTGTTGGCACTGGTCCATCTTGGCCCAACAGCATGAATCACCTGTTTACACGGCAAGTTCCAAGCTCCTGTGATTACTGCACAGCCAGGCTTCAGCTCTCCATGTTTCTGTATGAGACCATCACATTCATATTGCAACTGTGGGCCAGCCGCTTTTAGCAAAGCATTGGCAAGGCCACCAATGTGCTTCAGTGCTTCATTTGATGCGTTGACCACAACATCCGCTTGATAACGGGTCAGATCTCCCATACAGACCTGTATCACCACACCATTTTTTAAGTCTACCTTGGTTTGAAGGTGTTGTAGAGTTTCCACAGAACCTCCGTTTTTCTCATCATCTCTTTGCAATCTGATCAAACAGTTGAATTTTTTTTTCCCTTGGTTAACATAGTAATGTTCTTGGTTTTTGAAAAAGTCTTTCACTCCAGGTTTATCAAACACTACATTCACGGAGTGCAGTAAAGACAGCATTTGTTTTACCATCACTGCTGCCTCTGTCACTTCTACTTTGGGTCCACTCAAGACAATGTCCTTCTGTTTTGGCCTGAGTCCAAAATTAATGATCAGGCCTTTCTTGTTCAAATCACACCAAACCTTCTGTTTTTCCTCCTCTATAAACTGCACCATACCCACTGACCTGGCAGGAATTACTGTTTGCATGTGGGTGTTTCTTACAACAAAATCAGAAAGTTGCTGGTAGACATCTGCTACAACTTTTGTATAACCAGCCACAATAATTTTAGCATCTCCATCCAAATCAATCCAGTCCTCAATTATTACACTTTCTTCAACAGAATTATTTAGCTTCTGAAGATGTTTAATTAGTTCTTTCCATTGCTTTCTGTGGATGAGTTCCTGATCCTTCAATGTAATGCATTTGTGATTCAAGCATTTCTTTATTTGTTCCTCTGCTTTTAAGAGGCTTTCAGGGGGATATCCTACCAAAGCTATAGAATCATGTGTAAGTTCAAAGGCAGCATTAATTTTATTTGCTGTAAACAGGCTCCACAACTTAACAGGGTCTGCCCTTTGTAGGAATTGAAAAATAGAAGGATGAATATTGACATTTTTCTCCACTATCCTTAACATCTTCTCTAGTAAGTCACTTTTCATTTTGTAAACCTCTGTAGGTATCCCATTCAGTTGCAACTGCTTTGTTGAAGCATCATAACTCCATTTCAGCCGAGTGTTTTTCTCACTGATATTCTCTTCTAGCAAGATATGCTGCAAAACTTTATACTTTACTGGGGAAATTGACAACGTTTGCTGTAATGTTTGCCCGGCTATTTCAGCATCCTTGGTCAAATGTTCTATATATTCCCTCAACTCTTTCTCCACACTATCCACAGTGAATGCAAAACCAGCTAGAGTAACACAATTTTTGGAGTCGTCCGGCACGGCCAATACATTTTTTAACAAATTGCTTTCAAGGGTCTCCCATGCTTCTGGAATGATTTTGCATTTAACTGTCCCGAACTTTGACAGGATGCACGCAAACTCCTCAGAAACGTTATCTTTCCAAGACCTAGCCAATTCTTTTATGGACTTTCTTTTCTTAGCTAAGATAGCGGAGGGAGACAGTATGAGTTCTGGTTGCTCACAAGTTGCCTGGGGCCATATTACTTCACAGAAACAATTGGCCATTTCTTTCTCTATTTCTTGGATTAATTTATTCTTTCCTTGTAGAAATTGCCATATATAAGGATCTAAAGGGACACTGATTGATTCCGGCATCTTGATTTGTGGCTTCTCCTTTCCGTACAAAACTGTATCCAATGAACTGTAGAATGGATAAACCAGGACTGACTGGCCATTTAATGAGTGCTGCTTTTTCAATGCTGTCAGGGCAGCTATAAACAAACAAACAAAAATAGAATATACTGAGAATTTGAATAAGAAGTTGCAATAGAAATAGATACAATTCAGATATCATGCAGTGAACATATACAGTACTTAAAAAACAAACATAATTTTCAAATTTCTTGGAACACAGCTTCTAAAAATCAATTAGGAATTCTTCAGCATTTTTTTAAAAAAACCCCATTATTATTCATTTGCTCAATGCTGATATGCTGTATTTGTCATAATAAACTACATCTTTCTACCAACATTTATAAGTTTAAATATTTCTCCATACATTTTCTCTTTATTCACAATCATCTACTTGTCCTAATTTTTAGCCATTTGTGCATAGCTTGCAATCATTCACTCCATTTTCCCATCAAACACAACTACCTAATATATCTTTGATGGATTAATTAAGTCACCACAAGTATTCCTCATATTTCATCCACATCAGACAAGTTTGCTTTATTCTCTGATCAAAACTGAACCATTTATTATTATCATAATAATATGAATTGCCTACTCTGGGCAATTCACAAAATGCAAATACAGAATTAAAAAAGTTAAGAACATAAAACAAAACTTGACCATTCTAGACTACAAATAACCATCACAATAAAACACGATGGGGCTCCACAAAGATACTAACCTAGGTCTGTGAATTTTTATTCTTCTTCCCATCATGTATCACTCAAACTCACTTTACTTTCATCACATAATACTCTTAATATCTTTCAGCAAACAACTTTCAACTCCAACTCTGCAATAAACATTCCATATGAGTAAGATAACCTTTATTATCATTTTTACTATGAGCACACTGGCCCACATTAAAAATGAAATTCTGTTGCCTGCTCTCAAAAGTATAAAACTACCCATACACATGCATAACACATATATACATGCTACATACATACACACACACACACACACACACATATATAAATCACTGTTCGCAAGGTTGATACTATATGGAACAAAACTGACTGAATGTGGATGTTCTCCTTTGGATACCACAAACCCTCCTCCCAGAACCTAACAAGGAAAACAAGTCATGAAGAGGATGTGTAGATCCTGCGGATCTTGCTCAAGCATCACTTATATACTATGTCTTGGATAGAAGGAAGTGAACTACCAGTAATCTTTTCTGCCATCTTTAACACTCTCTGCACTGTCTTCCTATCTGAAGCAGTGATGCTTCCAAACCAGACAGTAATGCAATATGACAGGATGCTTTCAATCGTCCCTCTATAGCAGACATGTCAAACTCCTGACGTCACGTGACGTCGCGCAACGTATCGGAGCTTTTTCGTCATTGCCGGCAATGGGGTGGGCGTGGCTTCACGATGACACGTCCGGCCCGCGGGCCAGCAGTTTGACACCCCTGCTCTATAGAAAGTGGTAAGGACAGGGGAAGGAAGATGTACCTTTCTCATACGATGCAGAAAAGGCAGACACTGTTGTGCCCGCTTCACCAGTGTCTTACTGCTGACAGACCAAGCTAACCTACTTGTTAGCTGTACACCCAGAAACTTGATGCTGCTAACCATCTCCACAAGTGAATCATTAATACACAGAGGTGTGTGGCTATGCCTGCCTTTTCTGAAATTGACAATGATCTCCTTAGTTTTTCCTACGTTTAAAATGAAGCTGTTTTTGTTACACCAGTTCACCAAACCCTCTACTTCCTTGTAGTAAGCACTCTCATTGCCATCTTGAATAAGACCCACCACTGTTGTATCATTTGGTGGCAAACCTAGCACAACAGTCTTGGGTCAAAAGGGTGAACAACAGCAGACTTAGGACACAGCCCTGAGGAGGACCTGTGCTCAGGAAAATGGTGTTAGAAATATTAGTCCCAACTTGCACATACTGGGGCCTATCAATAAGAAAATCAAGAATCCAGTTGCACAAAGGGATATTGAAGCCTAAAAGGCCCAGTTTGTCTACTAGATGTGAGGAATGATTGTATTAAATACCAAACTGAAGTCGACAATCAGCATTCTTTCCTCTAAGTGCCCAAGTTCAGATGGAGAACAGATAAAATACCATCCTCTGTAGAGCGATTTGGACGGTAAGCAAACTGAAGCTGGAGGGAGGCTATACATAATTTCCTTTATCAGCCTCACAAAACATTTCATAATGATGGATGTAAGTACAACTGGATCGTAATCATTGAGACCCATAATTGTAGACTTTTTTGGCTTTGGCAAAATAATGGCCATCTTAAAACACGATGGGACCACTGCCCGCTGCAGTGAAAGACTGAAAATATTTGTAAGAACACAAGTCAACTCGTCTGCACATTCCCTGAGAACATGACCAGGGATATTATCTGGGCCTGCTGCTTTCCAAATGTTCTCCGGATAGAGGCAACATCGAAGCTAAGCACTTGCTTGTCAGGATGGGGCACAGCTTTCCTCGCAGGGGTGCTATTTGATACCCCAAAATGTGTTCAACTTGTATAAAAAATCTGTGTCACCTTTACCACACAATGGAACCACCCTATAGTCTATGTAATGGCCTGGATGCCTTGCCACATACACCAGGGGTTCGTTGGGTCCTAAAAAAGTTCTGAACTTTCTGATAATGGGCTTGCTTTGCTCTTTTTATGGCACTTTTCAAATTGGCTCTGGCTGTTCTGAGTGCCAGCACATCGCCAGATTTAAAAGTCACATTATGTGCTTTCAACATCTTGCGAACCTCATGTCATCCATGGTTTTTCATTAGCATTCAAGCTCATTTCTTTACGCTGCAAATCACATCCAGGGAGTAAAGCAAAGGCCAACAAAATCACATTGTCTGTCTCACAAGCTCCAATCTTTGTCCTGTGATGTAATAATGAGTTTTGGGCTGCTGCTGTTGTGTCTTCTCTGCTAATTCTGCCATTTGAAATTCTATTGATATGCACACATCAAGCTCAATGCTGTTACGTGCCCAAACTTCCCCCATCAGTTTTTGATTTCTAGCCAAGCAGTAGCAAACTCCTTTTGTGTAAAAATAGAACAATTACCTTGAGAATCACCAAATTTAACCAGAGCTGAATCTTCTGTAGGTAACATCTGAATATCGGACACCTGCCCTCCTCCATGTTTTGGACTTTCAAAGTAGAGAGTTAGGAATTCACTGGATGTTGCAGCTGGAATATTCTCAACTTTGATTACATTAGTCAATTCGAGAGGTCTGGCTGTAAATCTATACTGCTGGAACCTGCTGTTCTTGGCACATTGCTTGAGAAAATTTTCAGCGGCTAAAAATAGAAGTCAGCAGCTCTTAAATATGTGCTTTCCATTTCTGTGCACACATGTGAAAACAGACAGAGTTTAATGATTCAATTATAGGTAGCTCTCAACTAACAAACACAATTGAGCCCCAAATTTATGTTGCTAAGTGAGACAGTTGTGAAGTGAATTTTGCCCCGTTAACAATCTTTCTTGCCACAATTGTTAAGAGAATCACTGCAGTTGTTAGTAACATGGTTGTTAAGCGAATCAAGCTTCCCCATTGATGTTGCTTGTCAGAAGGTTGCAAAAGGTGATCGATTACCTGACCTTGGGACATTTCAGCCATCATAAATATGAGTCAATAGCCGAGCATCTGAATTCTGATCACATGACAAGGGGGATGCGGCAATGGTCGTGTGAAAAAACCCGTCATGAGTCATTTTTGCAGTGCCATTGTAACTTCGAATGTTACTAAATGAACTGTTGTAAGTCAAGGACTATCTGTACGATGTTTTGACAGATCAACGTTATCTGTATGTTTTCGTAAACCCTGGCCAATCCCC